GAAGCATGGACCTACAGTTAAACGTATTTATTCATCGTGTTTATCACTAATATATAATGTATTTGTTTCTTATATTTTGTTACAAATTATGGCAGATGACATAAATATCAAGGTTTCTCACGTTGGTTTTGAGAATTAAAAACTGATTGAATCCACATTTTTTTTAATTATTATTTTGCAAACTTAACTGGTTGGAATCAAAACGGCGTGCGAGAGAGAGAGAGCGTGTGGAAGTTGCAGGGCGATTGAAGCTAAAGTACCATTGTACAAAGCCTTATCTACTATTATTTTTGTTGTTAGTGTCATTCACGGACTTTGCTATTTTAATATATCTTTATAACAGTGTATAAGTGAGTATTTTTGCCTCAGGCAGTCGCATTTTGTCCAGGCAGTCGCCGGGCATTCCCGGGCAGTATTAGTATGACCTGATTTTGTAGTCAGTAATTAAATAAATTGACTCTTACTAAAATGATTGTGACTTGAGGTACACATCACAGGTACAAAAGTTTCTCCAGTCTGTGTCCCCATGCATTAACAACAAATACTACTGAGGGCAGTATACTAGCAAACAGGAATGGAAACTAACCCTGACGACAGACTGGAAACCAAGTGATGAAAACTAACCAGTTCTTTCACATACTCATTTACACTCATTTTTTTTCTAGAATCATATGTAGTCTTGTGATCTCATAATTTGCGTGATTTCAAATTGGAATCTTTATCGCATATCAGACAAGTGAAACCCTTGACTCATAAGCCCTTGGAATTTACCTGCATGCTCAGTTGTCTGCTTATCTTGATAGGTGTTTGATTTTTCTGCTGACAGTTTTTTCCTAATGTTCATGGAAACTGTTCTTGCGGCGTTTTTATACTCTGGGGTCTCATTTCTTTTTACCCTGTGTTCTTCGTCTTCCACTACAATGTCATTTTCATTTGGCAGAAATCCATCCATTTCATGACGTACGCTCTCTGGTGGCGTAGTGCTAGGGACTTTCTTGCGATTTTTCGGTTTCCTTGTTGATTTTTGCTGATTTTTGATTTCTTGAGTGTCACTAAATTTATCAAAAGTCCCCTCCTGAGTTAGTCCAAAAAAATCCTCCTCTATTAAGTGTACAGGACTTTTTGCTGCAGTTCGTCGACCAACACTCGAGTGAAAATGTCGGGTGATTACAAGACAGTTAGACGTGGATATAATGGAGTTGGACGAACAGAACTTCTTCAAAGTACGACTAGACACAATAAATGATGAATACCTGTTACACGACGCGAAATCTGTGCAAACCATCCTAATGTTATGGGAAGTCAAAACAACCCGCATGCTTCTTATGGCGGCGGCCATTTTGAAAACATGACGATGAGGGCGCTGACACACAGACAGTCAAATTCATGCGTTTCTCCGAAAACAAATAAACTTTTCTAGGCATCTCAGAAAACATTCTAGCTTTCACAGACAAATTATTCATGAAAATTTGAGAAAAATATGGAGTACATTTGTTAGCCGAGCATAGTGGAGCAGTTTTACACACAATAATAAGCATGCAAATAACATGCAAGCCACAAGAGAGCAAGTTCACAATAGACA